CAGGGCAGGCTGCGAAACAATTAAGGAACACGGAGCCCCTCCCCAACGAAAAGGGTTCCTTCTTCAGGGCCCCGACTGAAATCGTGCTCGTTTCTAACTGTGCTCGCTTCTAATTGTTCCTGGCCCCCTGGTGGCCACGAAGAGGCCCAGGACCGAACAAGTAGACATGAAAGGATCTTGACCCCCCCCCAAAAAAAACAGAGAACTCTCGAAGGATCAGGAATGAACAGTGTGTAGGGCGACGAGATCTATACACACATCCACTGCTCCCTGGCTAGGCCCATCCAGAACCCCAGCAGCTGCGTGTACGCCCCCCTGGCCAAGCCGGGAAAGCGTGGCGTATACACCGCTGGCGGGTTCAGGATGAGCGTGGCCAGGGACCAGTGTATACGTAAGAATCTCGTCGTAATACCACGCTAAGATGCGCAGCAGCGCCATGCAATCATCGGGCTGCATCGGATCGCAGGAGCCGAATCGGATCGCAGGAGCCGACCAGCGCCGATATGAATCGAGTAGGGGATCGGTTCCAGAATTAAGATACCCCAGTTTCTTCCGCCTAAGAAGGCGTAGAATGGTCACAAGTCTACAAACGTTCGACGTATTTTCGTAGATTCGACAAACATCTCCATTTTGGGATGAGTCAATTCTGCAGTCGATCCTCTACTCGAGATCAAGCCTCCTCCTCCTCCTCCTCCTCCTCCTGCTCCTCCTTATTGGTTCCTACGCCGCCGGCGCCGCACCCCCTCGGGCGTCGCGATTTCCAGGCCAACCTCTGAGGGGCTGTTAACTTTCCCGGAACAGATCGTCCGTTGGGTTCTACTGGGCGCTGGCCGACATGTCGGCCGATTGGGATCACACAAGGCATGCCGTGGTTGGCGGGGACCACTGGCCCGGGTCCATCCAAAGCGGGGCCGCTCGGGCCTTGCAGGATCCCGCAAGATCCTGAAGCCTGGAGGTAGGAAAGGGGTATGGTATAAAGGGGTGTGGTGCTAATTTCATGTAAAGGGGACTCTGGCGATGTGATTTATCGCAGATAGCATCGCCATTTCCACGATTGGCACCATACCCCTTTGTGCCACACCCCTTTCCTACCTCCAGATGAAGGGACCCTGCAGGATCCTGCACCCGAGCCCGGGCATGCACCCCTGGCCCTGCAGGACCCTACCGGCGCTTCAGCGCTCTGACTGACCCCCCGTCTGCACGGACCCCCGCCCCCCGCGTCCCGATGTGGGCGTTCCCTTGGGGCCCATATCCTCGTGCTCCTCACCCTCGAAGGATTGCAAAGGTTTTTTTTTTTTTTTTGTTTTTTTGCAATCCCTCGAATGATTACAAAGGTTTTTTTTTTGTTTGCAATCCTTCGTTTTTTTTTTTGTTTTTTTTTTGTTTGCAATCCTTCGATCCTCGTGCTCCTCACCCTCGCCCCTGCGAGCAGCGCCCAAGTCGCACCTCACCTCTGCCCAAGCGCGCAAGTCTGTGACCGAAGGCCCCGGGGAGGGTCTCCGGGCCCCCGTTGCCCGGGGAGATCAGTGGCCCATCGCTGCCGCCCATCGCTGACCCCCATCTCATTGCCCCTCGTCGTGGCCACTCCCTTGCGGCCACGCCGCAGTGCTCTCGCTTTTTTTTCGGCTTCCCTCTCTCTCTGTTTTACTCTCTGCTTACTGAAGGGCTGCTTAGGATCTTCTGCCGCGGGTGTACCCTCCTATCCAGTCGCGGCGTTTCATCCCGATCTCGTGCTCCAGGGGCAGCTTTCGGGCCCCCTGGGCTGTCAAGAACAGGCCCCAGGGCGAAGCGCTGCTCCGAGGAGGGGTGGCCGAGACCGCCTGCGGACTCACGGCGCCGCCTCCTCTACGACGAAACCAGGACGAGGACAAACTCGGGTGAGGATAGATCGAGAATCTCTGAGATCCGGCGGCTCTGGAACACGTCTCGGGCGCCGCAACCTTCTCGGAGCGCTCCGGAACGCTCTGAGAGCGCTCCGGAACGTTCTGGAACGGATCTGTCCTCGTCCCGGCTCCGTCCGAGGAGCCGCCCCCGGAGAGGCCTGGGGAGCCGATCTCGAGGACGGCCCGCCAGCTCCTGGCGTCGTGGACAAGTCGGGACGGCCATGTGCTCGACGCTCTCGGTCCCCAGGGGGGACCTCTTCTGGAGCAGGCCGGTCACTCGTGGCCGGCGGCGCTGCTGTCGCACCGCTGCCGTCGACCAAGGCTCGGGCGGGACCATACAAAGGAGGCCCAGGGACACAAAGGAACAGACACGTATCCCAGGATTCCCCCTGCTTTCCCATATCCTCTGGGCTTTCGTCTTCCCCCCCACTTCCGATATCTTCTTATATTTTCGTGGGGATCGACGCGGTGTCAGTGTTTGAGTCGGGCGTGTCCCCTTACAAGGGGATTTTCGATGACAAAGAAAACATAGACCAACGATACTCCAAAATGGTAACAAATATCTAAAAAATAGTCCCCAGACTATTTGTTGACAACTTTTGAAGACTCCCCCTGTAGAGAGGGACAGGCCCGACTCAAGTCTGTGTGTGTGCTTTCCCCCTCCTGAGCATGCGCAGTGTCTCGAGAGTCCAGGCGCCCCAAGCACTCGCCAGAGCTGCACGCCGCTGCTGCTCCTGCAGCCAGCGTGCAGGCGCGCGACTGGAGCCCACCGGCGGCGGGGCCAGCGTCGGGCCGGCCCCTCGGCGTCCGACTGGGGGCGAGGGCTATGCTGCTCCCATCGTGCTTAGGGGCCACACCCCATGAATAAGTTCGAGCACCCAGAAAAGTGTCGAGGGAGTGTCGAAAAACAGTGTCGGACGAGTGTCTCCCAGGGCCCGACACGTGAAAACCTTCGAGTTTCCGTGCTGTTTTTCGGGCGCCCGAAATTCTTTCTGGCGTTCGAGGCGTCATATCGGGGGCGCGGGAAGGAGGGTTGCACTCGGGGTGCACGGACCGGCTGCGGGGAGCGGGGTCGAGATCTCCGCCGCCGCCGCTCCCTCTCCCGTCCCGGCGCGAAGGAGGCGGGTGCTCCTGCGGGACATCGGGCCCACGGAGGCTTCTGGCCGCCCTCGAGGCCCCCGCGGCACCCCTACGCCTCCCTCCTCCCCCCCCCGCCGTCTCCCCCGCCACCCCCCCCCTCCGTCTCTCCTTCCTGCTCCTTCCCCTCCTTCCCCCCTCGTCCCTCGCCTCCCTCCATCCCCTTCCGCGCACGCGCTCTCCCGCGCACTTGGGCGCGCGCAGACTAGGGCGGGGGGGAGGGTTCCCAGAGAGTTGTTGGGGCTCGCAGGCCTGACCTCCCAGAGCGTTTACAATCCACCCCAGCCACGTATCCCAACAGCAGCAAAAGTGGAGAGGCAGGTCGAGGAGGTCGGCTGCAGGGGGCACGGGCGAGAACACAGCCACGTGGACCTCGACGTATTCTTCACAAAGGGGGCGTGGCCGTCCGGACAGAACAAATAGCCTGCATCGAGACGAGAGCTCCGTTGGACCCGGGCGAGCTCGGGCTCCCCGCCCCCCCTTCAGGACTCTGGTCCGGTGTTGCCTCCTATGGAAGCCTCTAGCGTTATGTTGCTCCCATCGTGCTGAAAGAAGGATTGCAAAGGATTGCAAAGGTTTTTTTGCAATTGCTCCCATCGTGCTGAAATAAGGTTTTTTTTTGCAATCCTTTTTTTGCAATCCACATCCCAGGACTCATCTCGAGCACCCGGAAAAGTGTCGAAGGAGTGTCGAAGGAGTGTCGAAACAGTGTCGGGCGAATGTCTCCGGGGGCCCGGCACGTGAAAACCATGGAGTTTCGGTACTATTACCGGTTCTCGGCACTCTTTCTACTAATGCTAACGGCTAAAGTAGGTTGGAGATAACTCTAGCGAAACGTTATCCATCAGGGAATGAACCTCCCCACCTACGTATCTATATATTTATATATATATATATATATGTATATATACATATATATATATACATATATATATATATATATATATATACAAGTGGCACGTGTGTGCCCAGGCTCATACAAAAAACTGAAGGGGCGTTTGAAGCAGGAGTGAAATGCAACATCGAAGTCGCACTCGAGCGCAAGTGGGGTTGACACACCTTGCGATGTGTGTACCAGGACCCCCCAGGAAGCCTCAGGAGGCCCGACTTGGATACCAGAAGAGGCTCCAGGAGGCCCCAGGATTGTGAGTGTTGTGCGTGTGTGTGTGTGTGATGTATGCTTTGTGTGGTGCGTGCTTTTTGTGTGTTGTAGGTGTTGTGTGTGTGTGTGTGTGTGTGTGTGTGTGTGTGTGTGTGTGTGTGTGTGTGTGTGTGTGTGTGTGTGTGTGTGTGTGTGTGTGTGTGTGTGTGTGTGTGTGTGTGTGTGTGTGTGTGTGTGTGTGTTATGTTTGTCTAGTGTGTGATGTGTTGGGCGTGAGTTGTGTCTCTGTGTGCATGTAGTTCTGAAGCCCCAGGAGGCCCCAGGAAGCCCCAGGCGGCCTCAGGAGGCCCCAGGAGACCCCAGGAGGCTTCAGGAGGCCCCAAGAGGCTCCAGGAGGCCGCAGGAGGCCCCAGGAGGCCCCAGGAGGTTTCAGGAGACCCCCAGGAGGCTCCGAGGCGGGGTCTGGGGTGCCAGAAGGTTCAGAAAGCCCCAGGAGGCCCCAGGAGGTTCCAGGAGGCCCCCAGGAGGCTCCGAGGCGGGGTCTGGGGCTCGATTTTGGAAGGATTTTTCAAGCGAAACCGCCATTCCCTGAGAATCGGGGTCACAATTATTGAAATCACCATGTGTTTTTGAAGGTTTTATGTTAAAATGTTGAAATTCCCATGTGCTTTTGGACCCTGACGTCACGATCTGCGTGAGGGGTGCCACCGATTTTCAGAATTTCGAGGATGTCCCGAGCGAAACGCCCAGAAAAATCGCGGACGCGTGCGCATTAATCGCCTCTGAGCTCTACTCCCTCGGAGAGGTGCGTATGAGAATATATATATATATATATATATGTATATATATATATATATATATAGAGACCTGTCAGGACTCCTCAAAGCCTCGACCTAAATTTAAAATCGAAGGTTCTGGCTATATCTTCTTAGCCCTCCTCGAAAGTCAAGGAAGGGGGCCCCTCGACGCCGCAGTGGCACGCGCCGGCAGGTGTTCGGCAAACTTGCAACGGTAAGAGCGAAGCCAGACGCTACCATCGTGCAGGCCATCCCAGCCAAGGCCCTCAAGGACGAGTTCTGGGGGCCGTGGTCTGACACCTGTGCGAAACATGCCTGGAAGCCCACGGCCCGACCGCGGCATGCACTGGATTCGCCGAAGAGCTGGGACTCACAGGAGAGGAAGCGGAAGTGGATTAGATACGTACCGGGAGGTGCTGTTCAGGGCAGGCGCGCTCCCGGAGAGGTCCCGGGGGTCGAGAGGAACTGCCGCTGCCCGCTGTCGCTCCCGCAGCTGCTGCCGCCGCTCCTGCTCCTCCCGGACCCTCAGGCGTCGCAACGCAGTCGACTCTCACGGCCCCTGTAAACTTTTTCCGTCGGCGAGGCGGAGGCAGTCCGCTCCAGCGTGTGGCTAGTTGGGGCAGGCGATAAGCAAACTGTCCGTCGCGCAAGAGGGAAATGCGAAGACGGGGGCGGCCGCGCGAAGGGTGGAGGGGGAGGGCGCTCAGACGTGGAAGAACGGCCCCTGTGAACAGGGATTCCCACACATAGACCAGGACGTTAGCACCACTGACCCTGCATCGAAGACGAAGAGGAAGACACTGCATAAACAGGCACTTTCGGAGGTCCGCGTGGATGCTTTAGATCGGCGCTGGGGGCGCCGCCAGGGGGAGGGGCCAGCGGGGCACCGATCCGAGGAATTCGTGCGGGCCTTTAACACTTTCTGTTTATGCAGCCTCTTTTCTCCAACACATCTAGCGACGTGTTTGGACGCCCGAGTAAGGGTAACTCAGGTCAGGGGTAACTCCAGTTTAGGCCCCCGGGGCACGAACCAGGAGTTACCCCTGACCACCCCCAGCCCCGAGGATTCGGGAGAGCCTTGACTGTCCGAGGAATCGGGGATAACTCCGCTCCGAGGTACTCTGGCTACAGGTTTGTTTGGTCCCCCCCACCCGACAGGTTGGCGTTGTTAGATTCAAAGGGCCCGCCTCTAGAAAAAGAAAGAACGGCATAACGATGAACTTTTGGCTCTCTGGGCGGATCTCTTGGATCTGCGCTGGACCGTTGTCCCTGGCGCGCGGAGCGCGGATCCAAGAAATCCGCGCGGAGCGCCAAAAGATTTGTTTATTCTTCTTCGAGCCTCGGGGGGTGACCTAAACAGGGCGTGAAGAAAAAGGCCCCAAAGGGGCCCATTTGGGCTCCTGCTGGCTCCAAAAGGGGCCCTGAGGGGCCCCTTTAGCGCCCTTTTCTCCACCCCAAGGTCACCCCCCATTACCACCCACCCGAGCATATCGCGACTGCCAGGCCCAAAACGTGCCGGTGTCCTCTGGGTGGTTCTCCCGCCTATATTGTGCCTTCGGCGATAACGGCGGCCGCAAACCGCGGCCGCCAGGTACACAGAGTGTGCCAGAGTTCCATTGGTATCCCGACTCTCGCGGTCTTGGGTGGGCATCTCTTGAGGCAAATATTTGGTGAGCGTTTCCTTATTCGGCGTTTCGACATTGGGCGGGAAGGGGGGGGGAAGGGAGGGGGTCTGGCTCCGAACCTCTGCTGAACGGGACTGTTTGCAACAGTGCGCCCTATGGGGGAGACTTCATCTGCTCGAAACAGGCACCAAAAACAGCCAAGATCTACTCCATGGGGGGGGGGAGGGGGGGGGGTGCAAGGGCCCGCGCCGATCGGCAAAACAATGAATCAGAAAACGATCACTCGTTGGTCCATCTGGTAAGGCTTCGGGTTGTGAACAGACAGCCCCCCCCCCGGGTAGTCCCCGCCGGCCTCAGCAGGGGTGGGGCCTGTCTGTTCGCAACCCGAGGATTGACCAAGTCCATCCACGCCCCTCCCGATCGCCGAGACCTCACAGACCTCAGAACCACGTCGCTCTGATCTGTTCACCATTGAGGAACTCCAGAGGTCTCGACCCACTCGGGGCGGGCTTCTCATCCCCCGGCTGACGGCCCCGAGGGGCCCCAGGGGCCGGCAACGGCACGAAGCCCCCTCGCCGCGTTTTTCCACGGCGCGAGCGCGTTGGTCCCTCCACGCTCCGCCTGAGCGCCGCGGAAGAGAGCAGCCGTGAGGGGCAACGATAGGGGGGACTGGCACAGGGGGGGATCCATCAACCTGGAATCGGCGATGCGTCGCCGATAGGTCGGCGATGGGCCCCAGACAGTGACTCCGCACCTTCCTGGGCAGGTTGGGGCCATCGGGCCCCTGTCGGCGATCAGTGGGCGATGTGGGGGGTCGATGCGTCCCCCCACTGTGCCCATCCCCCCCCCCCATCGCTGCCTCCGAAGCAGCCGCGGGGCCGCGGCGAAGAAAGTGCCGCACGCCGGGGGCGATCGGGCGGTCAGGCGCCCCCGCCCTCGCAGGCCAGGTCGGCGCCGCCGCCGCCGAGGGCGTCGGCGCCGTACTTGGGCTCGCTGTCCTCGGTCGGAGGGCGCGCGGGGGGGGTGGGCCTCTGCTCCTGCCTCCTGCCCTCCTCCTGCCTCCTCCTGCCCTCCTGCCCTCTTGAAGGGGCCCTGGGACACACAGATAAACATACACAAATAAAAGGATTTCCCACATTCTCCCATAGTTTTGGGGTTTTCGTCTTCCCCCCCTTCCTATATTTTCCCATATTTGTCTTGGGAATCGACGATTCATTGTGCCTGTGTGCTTTTTCCCTCCTGACCTCTTCCCATTGCTCCTGCCTCCTCCCATGGGAGAAACTCACGGCGGGGGGGGGGTCTGCTCCTGCCTCCCGCCTCCTCCCGTACCCTTCTCCTCCTTTCCTCCTGCCCCCACACTGGGGCGGCGCGCACAGGGGAGCAGGGGAAGGGGGGAATGCTTCCTAGCAGGAGGCTGCTTCTTAGAAGGCGCCGGCCCTACATCTACAGCCAAGGCCCGCGCCTTCTGAGGAGCAGCCTTCTTCTAAGAAGCCTTCCCCGCCCTGCCCCCCTTGTGCGCGTGGTCGAGTGCTCTGGCGGCGCGCACAGCCCAAATCGTTGGATACCATCGTTTCTCCGCTCGCGACCGATTCTGTCTCAAGTTCTGGTACCTGTCGCGACCGCCTTGCTTCAAAATCGGTGGCGACCGATCGGTGGCGATCGATCGGTCGCGACCGAGTTGGCGTGCCGATCGGTCGCTACCGATCGCGACCGAGGACAATCTGGTATTCAATGATCTGGGACTCGGGGTCGCGGGAGGGCGGGCGGCTCTCCCCAACCCCCCTCGCGCCGTGGAAAGCTCACCACGGGGAACTGTTGGCCCGTTGCGGCATCTGGGGGCCTTCGCCGGGCCCAGAGCCCGTCAAACAGCGCCTCGGGATGAGGAACCAGTGCAGGGGAATGGGTCGAGATCTCTGGGGGTCTGCACGTCGTTCATTTCTAATCGTGCTCTTTTCGAATTGTTCTCGTTTCTAATTGTTCCTGCCCCCCTAGTGGCCAGGAAGAGGCCCAGGATAGAATAATTAGAAATGAAAGGATCTTGGCCCCCCCAAATCAAGGAACTTTCGAATATTAGAAATGAACAGTGTGTACGTATTGAAACATCAGGACATCTCATGCCTGGGTGGGCGGCGCCCATAGGGGGTGGCGCGAGGGGGGCAGCCGTCCACAACAGGGCGGCTGGGCTTCCTGAGGAGGCAGGGCGGCTTCGAAGTCCGCACGGCTTTCAAGAGGGCCTTCTTAGGAGCCCCAGATAGACGAGCGCGTTCCACTACTCGCAAAGTAACTACTCGCAAATGGCCTGGATACCCCGCGGAGGATCTACGATAAATTACACCAAAGCGGACATGTGTTTTGTCCGGACGTTTGCGAGTAGGCACTTTGCGAGTAGTGGAACGCCCTCGGTGACCAGAGCCCTTTCGGGAAGCCCCCGCGATCTAAGAAGCCCAGCCGCCTTCTCTGGCTTTGCCGCCCCCCTCCCGCCAACCCCCTCGTGCGAGCCGCTGGCTCCTTGCGCAGGGCGTCCACCGAGTCGAGGTCCAGGCCCGAGCAGGCGGCCAGGAAGCGGAAGGAGTCGGTGATGCTGCCGGCGTTGAGGACGCCCTGCAGGTCCAGCTCGTCGTCATGCGTTCCCCGCTTCTCCGCCTTGCGTATCGCGTTCTCCACCGCGAACCTGGACACATGCCTCACGCAGACGACCCACAGCAGCGTCATCAGAAAGTTTTGGAGCATCGCGATGGAGAAGTCGACCCAGTCCGTATACCAGTGGCCGTCGATCATGCTGAGGCCGTACCCCTGGATCTGGTAGAGTGTCTCCTGCCAGCAGTACCACCACGCGTAACAGACGTCGTAGCAAGCCATCAAGAATATCCACTGTTGGAACTGGGTCTGCGTTCGGAAGCGGCAGATGCAACTGACGGCGCAAACAATAGAACTTAGAATCACCGCGTACGTGTACGCGGCAAACAGGCCCAGAACTTCGCTGTCGGTGAGGGCCGTCACGTACTCCATGCCGAAATCGTAGCCTGCGTCGGTTGTCGCGTAGGACGCCACGGTGAGGGTGAGCATCTGCGCGGACAGACGCACGCGCCTCGTCACCCAGAGCTTGTCATCCACTGGTGGTGGTTCGGGCATCACGTACAGCAGCGTCATCGCGAGGATATTCGTAACGATTGCCTTGTATGCCTTCCAAGTGACCGACAGAGCTGCACCTTCGATGGTGCAGCGGCCCAGCATCATGTCAGTGATGGTCTGGAACTTCTGCCGATCACCTGACTGCAGAAGGAGTGCTGACGGGGTCCCATACGAGAACTGACGGGGAACTGTCGCGTTCGTCGTGTTGGTGAAGAGGTAGGCGTACTCCGCGGCAGAGTACGCATCGATGAGCTGCAACTCTTTGTCCCAGACGCCGTTCCAAATGTATCCCAGGGTGCTCCACGTGGAACACAAGAGGATCGTCAACACGGACTTGAGCCAACCGTTCTTCGAGTAGCCAGGCAACCCGATGTGGTACAACCACTCCATGTAAGACTGTGCCAATATGAATACGATTGTGACCGGAACCGCCACAAACAAACCAGTCGGACAGCCGATTCTAAACACGCTCACGATGGCCAAATTCGGGAAAACCAAGGCGGCTAAGCCGGACATCGCAGTGCCGACAGCGGTGCCACAGGTGATGCTCAGCATATAGCGCCAACCTTGCAGCGTAAGCTTCGTGTCTTTCCCGTCGTCTCTCTCCAGCTGGTGCATAAGCTCAGACTTCAACAAAGGCATGAACATCAACAAGAACAATGTGTACAACCCCCAGCCTAGGGTAGTCTCGGAGTACTGCGGAAAGGACATTTTGAACGTGTAGCACCAATTCACAGCCACCACAGTAGCGATGATCCAATCGAAGCAAAACTGAATAGCCTGCAACGTGACAATCACGCTCATGCTGGGAATCCGCCACTGAATTTTCTGTATTGAGCTTGTAAACATTCCAAAGCCGTAGACCACGATTTCCACAATTTCTGGGCGCTCATGAGATCTGCCCCGAGTTCCAAAATCACTCCAAAGCGATATGCTTTGTTTAAGAACTTTTTGGCTCCAGAGGGTGTCAGTCTAGGTGCTCTAGACCTTTCCTGCCGATCTCAGGGGCTCCCAACAGGACCCGATGGGACCTCCAGAGGCCCCCAGGACCCTCCCCCAAGATGCCTCCACGAGTCCCCAAGAGGTGCCATAAAGAGGGTCCCAGAGACCCTCAGAGGCCTCCAAAAGGTCTATGGTCATGAGGCAGTTTTCCTTTAGATTCTGGCAAGTCTCCTGGCATGGATGCTCGAAAAGAAACCTGAACTCCGCGCAGGCTGGGACTCGCCTCCACCCATCACAGTTGAACATGCGGCGGAGGGGGGTTGGAATGCCACGCAAGTGAACCTGCCCGACACCGAAAAAAAACAGCCTCCAGAGGCCTCCAAGAGGCCTTTGGGGAACGACCCCATGCAAGGTGGCAGGATGGGCCGAAGGCCACTGGTCAGCCGCCCCCGTTTGGATTTTTCAAAGGGGTGCCTGGCGTGCCGAACGATATGGCTTTTGGTTTTGGTTCTTTTTCCCAAAGAACCTCCCCTGGGGCTTCGGCCCGTCCCGCCGGCCACCCAGAAAACCCACCTGTCGTCGCCTTTCTTGCCCCAAGATGGCCTAATATGGCCTCCAAGACGGCCAAGATATCCCAGGATGGCCTCCAAGTTGCTCCAAGACCGCCAAGATGGCCTCAAAGACGGCTGCGATGGCCCCAAAATGTACCCAAGACTGCCCGAGATGGCCTCAAGATAATCTAAGCCGGCCCAAAAAGCCTGCAAGAGGCCTCCAAAACGGCCCACGAGGCCTCCAAGACGTCCTCCATGAGGGCCCGAAGACGTCAAAATCATGTATTTTCCATTGGTTTTGAAGGATGTTGGTATGTGCTCCTTTTCGGCCTTCCGACGGCCCAAGACGGCCCAAGAGGCCATCAAGATCGCCCAAGAGGCCCCCAAGAAGGCTCCATGACGGCCCACATGGCCTCCAAGACGGCCCCCCCATGACGGCCCAAGGGGCCTCCAACACGCCCAAGATGGCCTCCAAGACGCCCAAGATGGCCTCCAAGACGGCCCCGAAGCGCCCCAAGAGGGCCCCAAGTCGGCCCAGAAAGGCCCCCAAGACGGCTCCCGACGGCGTCAGACGTGCCAGGAACCCACCAAGATGGCCGAAGTTGGCTCGAAGCTGGCCCAAGACGGCCCAAGAGGCCCCCAACAGGGCTTCCAGGAAGGCCAGAAGGGGCCAAAAACATTGAATTTCCTAAGGTTTTTGACGGATTTTGACATTTGCTTCTTTTCGGCCTTCCGACGGCCCGAGACGGCCCAAGAGCTCCCAAAGATCGCCGAAAGATCGCCCAAAAGGCCTCCAAGATGGCCCCAGAACGGCCCAAGAGGGCCCCAAGACGGCCCCAAGAGGCTCCCAAGACGGCACAGGAGGCCTTTAAGACGCCCAAGATGGCCTCCAAGATGGCCCTGGAGCATTCCAAGAGGGCCCCAGGTCAGCCCATAGAGGCCCCCCAAACGGCTTCCGACGGCGTCAGACAGACCAAGAGCCCACCACGACGGCCGAACATGGCCCTGAGATGGCCCAAGACGGCCCAAGAGGCCTCCAAGAGGGCCCCCAGGAAGGCCCGAAAAAGGCCCAAATCATTAATATCCCATGGTTGTTGAAGGATTGTGGCATTTGCTTTTTTTCTGCCTTCCGACGGCCCGAGACGGCCCAAGTGCCCCCAAAGATCGCCCAAGGTGCCCAAGACACGGCCCCAAGAGGCCCCCAAGACGGCCCAAGAGGTCTCCAAGACGCTCAAGATGGCCTCCAAGACGGCCCAAGAGCTCTCCAAGACGTCCTCCAAGAAGGCCCGAGAGGGTCAAAATTGCCTCCAGACGGCCAAGATAACCTTCAAGATGCCCACGTGTTCCCCAAAGGCTTTCCAAACCGATTCGGGGAACACATGGTTCGATAGCTTGGCAGGTCTGGCCTCCACGTTCGGCCACATAGGCGCTTCCAAAAAGACAGGGGGCGGCGGTGATTCGCAGTAGGCGTCTTCGATTCCGCCGCCCCCTGTTGATTCATCACAGGGGTGCCTGGCGTACTAGACCCTTTCGCTTTTGGTTTTGGCTCTTTTCCTGAAAGAATTCTCCCTGGGGGCTTCGGCCCGTCCCGCCGGCCACCCGAAAGGGACCTCATCGACCGCAACAAATCCGCCAAGACGGCTCCACATGGCCTCCAGGATGGTCACGTCAGCCCAAGATGGCCTCCGAGATGGCCTCCAAGTCGCCAAAGATGGTCCAAGATGGCTTCCAAGACGGCCCGAGAGAGTCCAAGATGCCTTCAAGTTCGTCCAAGAAGCCTCCAAGACGGCACAAGATGGCTCCAAGATGGCGTAAGACTGGCCATGAGGCCCCCAAGAGGCCTCCAATACGTCCTCCAGAAGGCCCGAGAGGGCAAAAATCATTGATTTTCCGGAGGTTGTTAAAGGATTTTAGCATTTTCTTCTTATCAGCGCTCCGACGGCCCAAGACGGCCCAAGAGGCCCCCAACATCGTCCCAAGAGCGCCCAAGAGGCCTTCAAGATGGCCCCATGACAGCAAGGTGGCCCCACGAAGAGCCTTAGACGGCCCAAGATGGCCCCGAAGACGCCGAAGATGGCCTCCAAGACGGCCAAGATGGCCTCCAAGACGGCCAAAAAGGCCTCTAAGACAGCGAAGATGGCCCCAAGATGCACGCAAGACGGCCCCAGATGGCGATGGCCTGAAGATGGCCTTCGACTGCCCGAAAGGCCCGCCAGAGGCCTCCAAGAAGGCCCAAGAGCCCTCCAAGACGTCCTCCAGGGAGGCCGGAAAGCTCGGACACAACCTGGTCCGATAGCTCGGCCCGGCTCCATGCTCCCCGAAAGCTTTCGAAACTCGCTCGGGGAACGCGTGGCCTGATAGCTTGGCCAAGCTCAAATCCAACTTTCTGCTACGCAGGCGCTTCCGAAAAGGCAGGGGGCGGCGGTGATTAGCCGTAGGCGTCTTCGGTAGTAAGACTTGGCAAGCCTGAAAGCGTGCGGACGTTAGACCGTGATCATGTAAAGTTCGGTCGGGGCAAGCCTCGCTGAGCCATACAACTGCTGCCCCTGGGCCAGAATCGGCAGTCAACGTCGTGACATCAATGTTTGTCATATGTCAAGGCCCATGGGACACGACAGAAGATGGGATCGGCGACTGGAAGCCTGGAAGATGGCAGCCTAAGATGAGTGCGCCTGGGCGCACGCGGCAAAATATTTCAAGGATTTCGTGCGTGCTTAGCCACATGTTCCCGCCTGTGCCCTAATACGGCCACTCCGCGTGGGCATACAGGCCTGAACTGACGTGGCTTGTCAACGCCCTGGGGCCCTCCTCTAGCCAGCACCATCAGAAAACGATCCGTGGCAAGATGGATACATAGTGGTGGTTGGGGGTCGACAGCTACATCAGGGGTCCACGTCGTGAAACACCCACGGCGCCCAGAGCTCCAGGCTCGAATGTTCTCGAAACGGTTGGGGGCATTCCTGAAGGCTTCTCGGTGCTATCCATAAGCCGCGCCTCGTCGGGAGCCTTCTAGGCAACCTTGGGTCGCTCCGAACTGCCGCCTGGTGGCCTGAGTCGTGGCCTAGAAGCCAACTGACCTGGGGGGACGAGGACTCACTTTCAGCGGAGGGACAAGGTCGACAACGCTGGGAGACCACGGTAGCGACGGTGGCAGCGTAGATGACGAATGTGACAAGGACGGCAGCGTCGGCGACAACGACGATAGACGACGACGGTCGAAGGCGACGACGACGACAACAACGTTACCGAGGGACAAAAGCGACGACATTCAAGACCCTGACGGCGGCGGATGAGGCAGCGCGGCGACGACGAACCCAAACGTCCGATGTCAAATTTCTCTCAAAGCCGGCGGGGCGAAAACGACGTGACATCCGAGAGGATCCCTGACTCTTCGGAGGGGGCAGCGTTGCGCAGAGACCGAGGGGGCGAGCAGACGACGCAGAGGGGACTGGGAGGACACAAGCAATGTCCAGACATCACTGGGGAAGACACAAACAATCGCGGGTCGCTCAACCAAACGATCTCCTTGAAAGTACGGCTGGAGCTGTTCAACGAGGTGGCCACGCCGACAACCAGCTTCGGAATGCAGTAGCAACAACCCGACAGAACAGCCTCCGTGCGCATGGGTAATCCCACCAGCCCTCTGAGCGGAGGTGATGTATCAATTTTCTCCCCCCTCCCAAACCCACCCTTACACTATTCGGGACGGGGTGTGCCTGCTCCCTTCTTTACAAATGGCTATGATCGCCTAGCTGCCGTAACCTACTCCTCGGAAGACCTAGGGCAACGAATTTCAGACCGGGCGCTGTTCAATTCGATAGACGGCCGACGCAGCAAACCGCCCCTCGGATTGGCACGCGATCAAACTAGAACCAACTAAAGCTCCTTCCTCGGCTTCGGCCAGATCGCTAAGCACAGGAAGATAACATGCGCAAACAACTAAAGGTCGAAACGGCCCGCCTCCCCTACTATTCGTTTCCCTTAGACTGCATCCCATGCCTCCGTCACAACTGTCGCGTCTCCCCCAGTCCGTCCACAGCATGAACTGATCAAATCAAAGTAGGATTAGTCTGCAATCTGGCCGCACACCCACCTAGCCCCATGTGAAATCCGATGCCTAATTGCCCATCCCGTCAAACGCCTGGTTGATATCACGCTTCTGCCACTGGATCGGGTCGTAGATATTTCATCTAGGCCGAGCTCGTGATCTGATAACTGAGTGTATAATGATGTCTGTGGTGTGCCGAAGACTGAGGTGCTGTCGGTGAGAAATCCGTTCCGCGTGCCCGTATGTTCTGTCAACAACACGTACACATCGAATCTCTACAGAGTCGCCTGTCGAGTCGCCCGGGCTACGGAACTTGCCTCTGCTCGTCTCGTTGTTTTTGTAACAATGAAAGCGCCACCTCTCCCGTTTGACCAGCCGCAGGCCTGGAACCATGCCAACAGCTCCCTCAACACCCTTGTCCAACACACAAGATACAGTACAAGCAGCGGCAGGATTTTGAACCATTCGCGGGTTCCCCGTGATTACTTTGTACTGTTTGTTGGTATGTTGGTGTGTATCGCATGCTGCACGATGCGCGCAGCACCAACATCGTTGCCGAACAAACGTGCGAAGTGAATGCGGGTGCACATGCCGTACAGCAGCCATGGTAACCACCTCGCCGCGATTTCGCATTGGTGTTTGACAGAGATGGTAGGGTGTTTGACGTGTTTTCTGGTGTGTACGGTCACGTGCAGTGGCGCACCTGGCACACTTTGCGCGCGTCGCGCACCCTGTGTGGCTGGAACACGTGGCACACTTGGCGCATGAGGAACACTCGGCGCATATGAAGCGTACGGCGCATCTGGCGCACCAGGCGCGCCTGGCACGTGCGGGCCCCTGGGGCGCCTGGCGCACCTGGTGCGCATGGCACGCTTGGCGCACCTTGCCTTGTCAGAGTCGCGCACCCAATCAAGTGTTTTGGTAACCCAGAACTGCGACCCCAATTGCGACCTCAGACTGTGCGGACACCCGGGTGTTACTTACGTATGTGCGGGGAGGTCGGATGGGAAAGAGCGCGGAGACTTGCGGCTTGCGGTCGGCTGACCCCTCCCCCTCCCCCCTTTGGGTCTGGACGGGGTTCTGCCAGATGTGTGAAAGCGTTCAAGATTGCCCAGAATGGCTCCGAAGCGGTTCCCAATGAGACAAGACGGTTCCCAATCTTGCTCAAGATAGCCGAAAACGGTTCATATACACACACGCATCTCCCGAAAGGTCCAATGAGGCCACAAAGCGGCCCCAAATGGCCACGAAACCTCCCTAAGAACCCTCCCGAAAGATCCGAGCCGTCACGAAATCTCGCGGCACTGATTCTTGCGCTTTCGTTTTTTCGCCCTGTCTGGCTTGTGGCGCCTCATGACGATTCCAACGTTGCTCAAGCGAGCACCAGAAGAGACCCAAGACGGCTCCCATAATGCCAAAAGAACGCCCAACAACGCCCAACGAGCGCACCAGGAGTTGGGGTTATTTCCCCAGGTCCCTCGCCAGCCAGCGCTTTGTCCGTCCGCCTCCTCTATCATTTTCCCTCTTCCTCCCTTCCTTCCGAGCGACTTGACGGCGCCCGGACAATCGGGGCGCCGCGACTGTCCGGGCCGGGCCGCCCGGCATTGCCCTCCAATTCCGCGGGCGACACCGAGCGTCTGCCGCGCGGGTACCCCCCCTGCGGCCCAGGTCATGGAAGGTGGCGCCCGACGCTTTGCGGGAGGCGCCTCCCTCCCTTTCTCCTCCCTCGTTCCATCCTCCCTCCCTCGCTCCTTCTTCCCTCGCTCCTTCTGCCTCCCTCCTTCCTGCTCCCTTTCGTCCTCCCTTCTCCTCTTTTCCTCTCTGCCGCGTGCTCAAGTAAGCGATCGTCTCCGCACCTGGTGTGTGCCGACGGGAAGCCCAGACGGCGCTGCGGCTGCAGACGCGCCCGCCTGCCGAGCCGACCCTCTGTGATCCGTCGTTGTCCTTCTCCAGCGTTTCTCATTGTCCTTGTTTTCGTCTTGTCGATCCTGTCGATCCTTGCGCAACCGAGCCACTCCAGGCGAGAAAGCAGGGTGGCGGGCGATGACGAACGACGCAAAAAAACGGGGCCATAGCCGATCAGGCGATCGATCACTTGTCGCCAAGGCCCCGACCTATGATGGAGGGGTCGGGGCCGACCCGCGAAAGATTAGCTGGACGGGTTTTCCCCTCCTCGAGCTGTTTCAACGTCTGCGTCGCTGGCTTGCTGGGGGGCGCGCGGGGGCACTCCCCCCGACAGGCGCAGCTTCGCCGAGCCGAAGGCAGCACGCTCTCTACCCCAGACAATTCGGCCACCGTTGATCCAGAACTTATGGCTGAGGTGGGCGAGCCTGACCAAACCCGGGATGCCTGTGCAAGGCGATGCGCGCGCTATATATGTGTGTGAGTGTGTGCGTGTGAATATATATATATATATATATATACATATAGCTGCTCCTCCCCTTCTTGCCCGCCCCTTGGAGAGCGCGCCGGTTGCGCTCACAAAACAACTGTAGTGGGTCGTGCTTGGGGCCGGGGGGGGGGCCTTGCACTTCTGAACATCAGGGAACTTATGTTTGCTACGCATTTCCCCGAAACAGGCTATACAGTTGCTGAAATCCACAACTTCAGAACTCCTCTGTATCTGAGGCTCACGGGGGCGAAGATTGCAAGGGTGCTCCTGGGCTCCGCGCTGTGCAATACCGTCGGATAGATCATTGCCTACCCAAGTCCAATGGGGGGCCCGAGGTCTCAAGGCACTTACTCCAAAAAAAGCGGCTGTAAACTCTATGCTGGCGGATCGCTCCACGACCTACGGCAAGAACGCGCCCCCAGAAAAAGTCCCCAAACTTCCGAGAACGCCACGTCCGTTAGGTCAGCGGCTGGCCCTTGGGCCCATGCTTCCAGCTCTGCCTGACTGTCCGAGTCGATCAGGATCTCCTGGGACGGTCCAACCAACCTCAGGGCCATTACCACTGCATTCAGCTCGCCTGCGCCAGCTTCCTGCACGGGGCGAGGGGCCGCCCCGAACGCACTTCCTGACGCCTGGCTACTCTCGCCCATGGGCGCCACTGCCCAGCCCGCGCGAGCACCGCGCATAACATTGCCGTCGAAGCCCGGGCCGTCGATGCAGATCCCAGGCCCGAGGAAACCCGACATAAGCCTGTTCTCCCACCGCCGAACCTCAGCAGCGAAATGCTTCGGCCAGTCGTATCCTGGGTCGGCCGCCAGCGCTCTGGTCGACAGGAAGTTGCGGGCGCCAACCTGCTTGCCTAAATCCACGCTGCGGCAGGTCCAGGTCCCACCTTAAAGAATGAAAGCCGTCGCGCTATAAGAAACGATGCTTCGGCGTGCCGCCATGCTGGCCGCAGACCTTGCGCGGCGGCGGGATCGTGCGCCTGTCGTGAAACGGCACTTCATGGACCTCCTGCGACCACGCCACGCAGGAATGAGGCGGCAACATTTCCCCCAGATTTCCTAAGGCCGTGAGAGCGTCCACGGTGGGCCGCGACAGCGGCTCCGAAAGCGGAGGAACAACCCGTCCAGGGGTCTCGGGGCCCAAGGCCCCAACATGCCCC